GGCTTCTGTAAAAGAAAATCATAGCGGTACTATGAAAAAATTAACTGAGAAACAAAATTTGAACATTAAATATCATGTTAATTTACCTTCTGAAATAATCATTGTTGCCGTCTCCAGTTCTGGCTCTGCTGTAAAAGATTTCATAACAATCGTAACAAGCTAGCAGCTAGCACATCACTCTGATGACTAAGTTGCGTCTGACCCAAATATATTCTTGAGATGATTTCTAACTTCAAGTGGGATATACTTAGGGTTGGATTTTAGCTCTTGTGGCTTTATTTTAATTTTCTTCAGCTTCAACTTGAACTTGTAATTGAAAGGCTTTTCTGAAGCTGGCCACTTGCCTCCTGACTGATGCTGTTTCTCCCACTGCCTCTTTCTATAGCTCTAGTTGGTTTGATCCTTGCCTTCATCCAGCGAGGTCCAGGTGTGTACGCACCATTTATGTTGTTGACGAAATGGTATTTCCAATTAATAAGACGCTGCTGGCTTCACAAAAACCTATCGTGGGATTTTCAGCGTCATTTCTATCACCAAGCTTTTACTACCCAACTACTCATCCTTCTGTGTTTCCAACATTCACATCCCAATTAATACTAATTAACATCTTGGTTGCACATTTGATGAATTTCAGATTGTAGGCATCTGTAAAAGTTTTGACTGTTCTTATATTTGACATCTGTGCTTAGTGAGTGGATTTGAGTTTTAACTGGTCTTCCTATAGTAGGTATATGGGTATTAACTCACCACTGACAATGCAGTAATGCAGGGTAGATGATGAGATGTTCTTTTTTAACCGTGATGGTATCACAGTCCTCTCCAATTTGTCATTCCTGGCAGTGGACCACATGACTGTCTCTCAGAGCGGTCAATCCCAGTCTGTTTCTGCTCATAGACGCCTTGGACACCAACACTGATGCATTCCATTTCTGATGACTTCTAATTTTCCTGGATTCATCCTTTGTACATTCCACATTCTGTTGATTAATGAACACTTGTAGCTTCTTCTCACTTTGAGCCATATTTTATCAGCAAATAATGGCCCTGAAAGCTGTGTTCCAGTCACACTGAGGCCAACTCCACTTGAGAAGGTAGCTCTTTATCTTATTTTGTGTGTCTTCCAACCCGAGGGGCCTGTCTTCTGGCCCTAGGTAAAAAATGGCGTACTTTATTCAAAATGCCTGCAGTGGTCTTCAGAAGTGGCCTGCCTTTTCCTCTTTCTGGTCTGTTTTAGTCTGGGGGCTTTGATGGCTTCTGTCCACCACAGGTGATTCAGCATCGCAGCAACATGCAATCCACCACAGTATGACAACCTGACTGATAGTGTGGTGGGAGGGGACATGTTACTAGGTGGGGCTGATCTCTCGAGAACATGCTTGGGAAGGAAGGGGGTCCGCTAAAAAGAGGCACACCATCAACATGACTGAGGGGCACGATAATGAGTTCAAGCCAGCTATTGAGAGGATTGGGCGTATGATGACGGGACTTACAAAAAGTTCACAGAAAACTTCCATTATCTTCTAATTCCATCTTTACATGGAGTTTGGACGCCCCTTAGTATTGTGTCACTGAGTCAGAATCAATTCGACACCACCTAACGACAAAGCCTGGGGAATGAAAGGCAGCTACCCAAAGGGCCTGGATTTACACGAACTGGTAACAGATTTCCATATATCGGTACACAAATCTTTGAAAATGAGAAAAACGACCTTGAGTTCTTATGTGAGGACCCTTATGTGGTTCATGCAGGAAGAATGATACGGAAATTATTTAGGGTTTTCTCTTCAGGATATAGATTTGCTGTTGTACTGCACTCTAGTTCTCTGAAACGTCTGTCTTTTAGGACAGTACAAAGGAAGAAGATTCAGATTGTCTCAGCTCTCTGAATCACATGATTCCTATTTGAGATGTCAAATGGATAACTATCCTTCCATGATTCCAAGAGAAAAGAGTGAAAAGCTCAAAAATTAACCTACTAATTTCCTATGTATTTTATTCATTTCAAAACTGAATGACTTAGATATTGGTAATATTTCGATCTAGCCATGTATTCCAAATGCTAACATAGTTTCTGAAAAGCACATTATAGTATTAATATTCAAGATATGCAAAATCTAATGAATCTGGAGCCAACGTGAGTGCATAAGTCTAAGGTACATGTGAGCAGTATGGCATTTCAATGGAGCATCTCAGCATCTCCGAATAGTTAAAATGTTCTTCCAATTAAAATTTGTATGAACAAAATTAATGCTGAAATTTACAGCAGTAATTTTGAACTTAAGAAAAATAAGAAATACATAAAATGATTGTGTAATTAAACACATGCCTACTATATTGCTTAAAATTTTTAGTTAACAAGAACACTAGGGTATAATACAAAGCTAAAATTGGTCATTTCAAGGATTTTCACAGAAAGTAGACCTCATTTTCAAAAGCTATTTTGATAGAGGCAACTTATTAAGCCAAACCATGGCCAATGAGTAGACTCGGACTTGCGGCAACTGTGGGAGTGAAAGAACAGAGCTGCCCTACAGTGTCTTCAATCGCAGATTGTTTGCAGACAGTTAATCTTTTCTTGGACGGCACCTCCAGCAGACTTGAACGTCCCTACAATCAATTCGAAGTTGAGCATGTTACACATCTGCACCCTCTAGGGACTCTGATTAAAACCACAAAACCCACTGCCATGGAGCCAATTGACTCATAGCAACCCTCTTGAGGGTTTCCAAGATTAAATCGCTATGGGAGCAGTCAGCCTAACTTTCTGCCCAGGATCAGCTGGTGGGCTTGAATCACCAATCTTGTGGTTAACCCTCTTAATGCCTGAGGCATGGGGCAAAATTCCATACCTGTAATAAAAGTCTCCCAATTCTTTTCAAATCTACCCTGAATCTAAAATATAGGTTTATGGTTTGGGAGAGTTTTGTTAATGTGTGCAAAGTGTAATGGGAACTGAGAAAGGCACCTTCTCAGAGAACATCCCCACACACACTGACTTATACCCTTGGGTCTTCACAAGCATTTTGCAAGGCCTCTGAAAATGCGAATGCATTTCCTTCGCGATGTACTAAATCTCATTCCCAGGCCAGCAGGAAGCCATTTCTTCACACACAGAGGAGCCTTAATGCTGAGGTAATACTGCAGGCGCTGCAGCAGTAAACATAGGCCAGTTTCATCCTGACTTCACCCTTTTCTGGAATCAGGAGACTCTTCCTAGGATGGGAAGTGATCACCTGTATATGACTCCTGTAATATGAAAGTCGGAACATGATCCTTTATCAAATCTTGGCGCTTCTGTAGCATGTGCAATATCGAGCTGAGTGTGACCGCAGGAGCGAGAGGGACCAGCTCACACCCAGATGACCTGAAAGTCTTAGGAAGAATGTTTGTCACTTATTTTATTTTACACTCCAAATTGTCACACCAAGAGTTAGTTACGCGATTTTGCCCATTTCGGGCTGTAAGCTGTTCTGTACTTATGTAGTGGATCTTCTAATACGTTAGTAACTTCAAAGGACTCCTCAAAATCCATTGGAAAGGATCTCAGTCAGCTCCACACGGTGGAACCCACTTGACAGAAGCCCCACTTTGCAAACAGAGCGGCGGGGCGAGGAGGCAGACTAAGATCTGGGGCTACTTGCCAGGTGCCATTTCTGATCACTAGGGGGCGGAAAAAAGGCACAACTAACAGATACTATAAAAACAAACAGAAGGCACAACTAGAGCCGTGGGTAGGCCAGTAAACAATCTTTTACTGAAACATTTCATAACACAGAAAATCTGCCTGAATGTCAAGTTACTGTCTTACGCAAGGAGAGACCCATTTTCGAAGACTAATATGAATACAATAAATATGGAGTTTACATACGAATTTGTACACAGAAACTCTGCCCCACAGCCATAGAAATTTATATTTAACAGTGCAACATATAATTTAATCATTTGATTTATTTGACAGCTTTTTTATTACTAAACACAAATAACTACCTGGTTTTAATATATATATATAATATATATTTTATAGATATTCAACAATCTGTACAGTTTCTAAACATAAAACTCCTAAAAGGCACAATTGTCTATACAACATGTACAAAAATGGCTGGAGCAGACACAAAACAATTATATTGGTCAAAAAGTTCATGATTGCACAAAGATTAGTAATGAGTTTATGTCAGAAAAATGTGCTTTAAGGAAAGGAGGGTTTTAAAAAAAACCTTTTAAGTGTTATATTTAAAAACAAAAACATAAAAAACTGAAACCCACTATGTCGCTATGATCAGCCTGCCCTCATCATCATCTTCGTCACTGCCGGCGTCGTCGAACTGCACGGGGGGCTGCCTTCGGGGCGGGCCTGCGGGCCTGCGTGCCCGTCTGGGTGGGGACAGGGTGTGGGGGCCTGCGGGCTGGGTGGGCCCTTCAGGATGCATGTCCAGCAGAGGGTCTGATGTGGAGGGGCGTCCCTGCTCTGGTGTCACATGGTGGGCCTTCTCTGGGCACACATCACTTGTGCCAACGGGCTTTGCCCGGTCACTGGCAGGAGCAGGTGTTTTTGCTTGTTCTTGCTGGCTGCTAGGTGACCCCTGAGGAGATTCGGCCCGGCTACCCTGGTTTGCACCAGCTGCAGGGGCCGGTGTGGGTGTCGTCGCGCGGGCGTGGTTCTGGCATGCTGGTCTTTCTGGAGTACCCTGGGTGTCAACAGTCACTTGCCCCACCGAGGGGATCAGAGCAGGCAGCGCTATGTTCACGATCTGGAGACTGGGAATGTGTGGCTGAGGGCTGGGGCTGCTTTGTGAGGGAGGGTTTGCAGCTAAAACCTGCAGGCCCACAGCATTCAGTGCCAGTCCCGGCGGGTGGCCCTGCGGAGCCATGTTAGTGTTGGTGAGGCCTACAATGTTGACAGCTTCCATGCCGAGCCGGGGCAGGGATGGCAAACGAGGCGTGCTGAGGTTCTGCAGGCCCGGAACCTGGATTTGGCCAATGGGGATGCATGGCACAACATTGCTGAGGTCAGCCATTCCAGCAGGGTTTGTAGTGCTAGAAACTTCTGTGACCGTATCCCCGGGGGCGCCCACAGTCCGGTGGATGACACTGACCGCAGGAATTGTGAGCTGCATTGGCCCTGCTTGAACTGGGACAAACGCAGAGTACGTGAGGCCAGTAGGTACCACTTGGATCCCCCCAACGGGAACCATATTGTAAGGTGTCCGGGACTGCTGCTGGGAATGCAAAGGGAGGTGGCTGAACAGGTGGGTCTGGGGAGCAGGCCAGCCTGGAGGCGGGGGTAGGCTTGTTTGCGGCTTCCGTTCTTGAGGGTCAGGATGCGGCAAGGCCCCTGAGGGAGCCACCAAGGCTGGCAGAGGGCTGGGCTCGGCTGCAGGAGGAGGTCTCACAGACACGGCATTCTGAAGATGAGAGAGAACAGTCCGGTTATCCCTGAACTTGCTACGCCCTCAGCTGCTGCTGACGTGAGCTGCCACGGAGCTGGTCCCCCAATTCATGGTGACCCCATGCACAAAGGAACGGAGAGTGTCTGGTGCTACACTGTTCCCATGGCCTGTGGCCTGGGCCACTGGCTGATTTGGGATGGAGAATGGCAGGCCTTTCTTCCCAGCCTGGGAACTCCGCTAAAATGTGCTCAGTATCCCAGCAGCCTCCTGCCAGGCTCCAGTGACATATAGGGGAAGCTGGGCATGAGGGGCACTGGTTGGGAACTACACTTGGGCCTTGGGCATAGGTGGCGAAAGGCCCTACTTAACCAATAAAACCGGAATTCTGCAAAATGCTAACGCACACTCTTATTCTTCTTGATGAGGTAAAGCTAAATGCACTGGTATTTGTATTTTGCAAAACATTTAGGTTTGCGAAACATTTGATTTTAAAAATAAATTTGCAATAAATAGATCTAGTACATCATTAATCCATTAAAAAAAAAAAGCATAAATAACAGTACATAATAACTCACATTTTCCCTCAAATTTAGAGCAATGCTGAGAGGTGGTCATACTGGTATGTTCGTGTTGTTAATATGATTGTGTTCATCTCTTTTAGAGATGACCAGTCATCGAGAAATTGTGTTATTAGGTGGCCCCATAAATCAACTCAAGGAAGGATAATTCATGTGTGGAACCGCTGTCAAGGAGGGAAAGATCTGTGGGTGCTCATCTGTCTGTTTGCTTGTTCACCCAGTAGGTCTGCGATGTCTCCTAACAAATATATCTGGTATTCTGCACTGGTAGGAATGGTAAAGACCTTGGAATAGAGAACCTCAGAGCATGGGTGACTGATATTAAGATATTATTAGAAGGAATATTTCTTACCCATCCTCACTCCCACCCCTCTGGATAACTTGTAAATTTTACTTTTTTCTTGCTGATATCTGAGAGATATGTTACCTTTGAGATCATCCACAGAAACACATGGTACTTTTATAGTTCTCTTATTTTCCTTCAACATTCCCAATAAACCAAAATAGGCTACATTTAGAAAAAAATCCGATGACAATACTCCACATGTACTCGAGGTAAGAGAACTTGCAGCGAGAAGGTGGATCCCTGGCAGAATTCATGGGTCTTCCCCAGGCAGCCTTCCGGAGGCTGGGTCTGGCCCTGAGCTAGCCCTTGGGCAGGAGAATTTCCCAAGCTGCCACAAGCTACTTGACCACTTCAAACAAAGTTAACTTCTTGATATGCTTATTCAGCCACATTGCCTCTGCCATGGAAACCGGCAACTGCTTTGCTACCAGGGGCAAAGCATGAAATGTTTGGATAATTTAGTGCAACTTCATCATATCAACTCTGGTGGGGGAAAAAAACTTGCAGTGAGCCATGAGATAAATAAATTCCAGGCGGTTTCATGTTCTCAAAGGACACATACACATTTTTATATTTTTAAATTAAAACAAAATAACAGTAATAATTGGGTATCTTTTTCAACAACCACCTGTATTTTCATGGATTGACAATGTAGTATAACAAAACCCCAGAGAATAGGAATGGCCTTTGCTCCTAACCATAACAGCAAGTCTTCATATAAAGCTACATAAACCGATGTGGCCACCCATCCTTAATGCATGAACATTAGCTGCCACTGAGTCAGCTCCCAGCTTAAGGGGACCCCACGCAGAGTTCTCGCGGGCCGAGTTTTGGACCATCAGATCTTTCTTCTTAGCCTGGAAGACCTGCTGAAAGTGGCTCAGCATCCCAGGGACACTCAAGCCTCTGCTGACTGACAGGCACATGGGGTGCACTGGCTGACACCCCAACCTGAGTCTGTGACAAGGAACGTGAGGACTGGCCATTAAACCACCATTGTCCTCTCGCGAGCCTCGAAACCGCCCCCGTGTTTCAGTTTAGAAAAAGTCAAGATCAAAGCGATGACTCACCGGTGTGGAAGCTCTTCCTGCCGCAGAGCTCCGCAGGGCGGCCTCGGGCTCAGCGTGGTCCACAGACATCTGGGGACACGGGGATGTGGGTGACCTAGACGACTCTGCACCGGCGAGCAGCTCATCTTCATCTTTTGGAGCCTGCGGCCCGGTCTTCCCGGGGGACTGCGGCTGCTGACTGTAGGCTGACGGCACTGCGCTGAGCACTGTCATCTTGGTGAGCAGTGCTCTGGGCAGAACGTCCATCGGGTCCTCGTGGGCCCCGGAGAAGCAATCGGGGACCCTGCTCTCCTCATCTGCACTTGTGGGGTCCTGTAGGCTGCTGCTGGATGGCAGGTGCTGCGGGCTGGCTGCCGCCGAGGGGGCTGCGGACAGAACGGAATCAGCCTGGCTGTCCTCGTCGTCGTCTTCATCGTTGTCATCCTCATCTGGGCCATCCGAGTCTTCGATATCGTACCCGGGCCGTTCGTGACTGAACCGCTGCTTTTCGTCTGCTGAGGAGAACCAAGAGGGCATGCTGTTGAATAGATGGTAAGAAAGAGGTGTGGGGGATGGTACTGCTTCACTGCCTGCTAGCTCGGGAACAGAATGCATATAAATAACCCTCCAAACAATGCCCATGAAATCAATCTGACATGAACAACAAAACTAGTCGAAATGTAAAGGCACGTTCTTTGTCAAAGCCATGGGAGCACTGGAGCTTCTCGAGAACCAAATGACCGAACTCAAAGCTCAGGAACAGAATACCTTCTTAGAGAAGGAGCAAGGAGGCACAAAGCTTGGGTCGCCGGGGCAGGTGCACCAGGTCACCTGTCAGGAGTGCAACAGAAATAGCTGCTTGTCTGATTAAATTCAAGTGCGGGCTGCAGCACTGAGTGGACCCCTGAGGACTGCAGACAAGGAGGCAGTCAACATGCTTCTAGGCTCTAACACAAGAAACCATCCAGTGCTCCCAGAAAAGACCTGAGGCCCAGAGCTGGGGGAGATGGAACAGCAGTCACCCACTGGATCCACAGCCCCCAAAGCCTACCCGTATGTGGGGAGGCCAACACATCACCACTCTGAGGGTCTTGGTGAAGACGCACTGCAGGGAGGAGAAGGTAAAGGAGAAAAAGAATAAACAAACCTCTCTACGCCCGAGGGTCTGAAAGGATTGCCTGCAGAACCCAGCCCCCAAACTGGCACAATGGATCAGAGATGCAAGAGCACAGTGTGGGCCTAGGAGGGAGGCTGGCTCCCAAGACGGCGCCTCCTAACTTCACCTGAACAAGCGTTCAATATCAATAGCACTGTGAGGGGCAGGCAAAAATGACTACCCTCACAGAGATCTCCTCTGAGGCAGTGCACACAAAGGAACATCTAAAATGCAGACTCCAACAGACATGACTCTACTGACCTCCCCCATAACATCGGAAAGAGTGACATCAGACAGATGGGAAGGACACACACATGAAGACCACCAGAAAAGAAAGCAATGGGGGTGTGATGGGGAGCTTCATGCGTCTACCTGGCGGAGTGCTGTGGGTATTGTAGGGTCAATCCCAACACAGAAAGACCGACAGGACAGAGGAGAAATGCCCCACAGGGGTCCCCAGGCTGAAATCTTCCTAAAAGGACATCACAAGGCTTTTCTTCCAAGGAGTAGACTGATGGTTTTGAACCACCAATCTTTGGGTTAGTGTTAGAACACTGTGCCACCAGGACTCTTGGCTAAGCTCAAACCAACGGTTGATGCCCTCTCAGCAAGTCTGAAGGGCAGGAGAGAACTGCCCTGTGCCTTTCCCAGACCGTAACGCTGTACAGGAACAGAAAGGCTGGTCTTTCTCTGCTCTGCAATTATTCAAATGTTGCTGTGAAGGTAATTTGTAGAGGTGGTTAGATTCACGATCTGATCATTTAAGTAAAGGAAATTGTTTTTCATAATGTGAGGGGGCCTCAGTCAGTCTTTCACAAGCCCTTAAGGGCAAAACTAAAGTTTTCCTGAAGAAAAAAAAAAAATGCCCATTCAGTGCCATGTCAGCTGCTGCCCATGAGTTTCCAAGTGGCCCTATCAGTTCTTGACTTGTCCAATCAGCCCTCACACTCATGTGCATCAGTTTCTTTAAATGATTGATCTAGCCACATTTACCTACCTGTGTATCTGGCTAGACACAAGACATACTCATTATAGGACACTGATAGAACCTAGACTCAAAAGGAAAGGAAAGTTAAATTCATTCTGGCTTATTTTCAATTGCTTTAAAATTTTACTAATCTCTAGAACAAAAATAGAACAATGCATGGTCTAAACATCCGAGTTAAAGACTGACACAGACAAATTGATTGAAAAACAAGTCTCAAGTATATATTGTATAGAAATCCATTTCAAATACAGACACACAAATTGGTTAAAAAAAGTTTAAGGAAAGGAATACGATAAAAATATTGACCAAAATGTTGCCAAAGAAGCTAAATGACCATCACACTAAGTAGACATCACAATACAGAATACTATCAGGGACAAACAGGAATATCACAATGTGCACAGGGGTGGATCACCTCTCTTTGAGAGTTCTATTTTGTATGTAACTGAGGCAAAGTTTTAATATAACCGGACAACAACTAAGAGATGAAAAAACTTCTACAATCTTCTCTAATATGACAGAATACACAGATGCCCTCTTCAAAAGAGGAATAGAGTGAGAATCAGCAAGAAGATAGAGAAGACCTAAATATGCTATCAACTAGACTTTGTAGAATATTACAACCACTAATAGTGGAATGTACTTTTACATGATAACATGGAAAAATTCTCTGATTTGAGACTAAAATCTGAGCTATAAATCAAACCCCAACATATTTAAGTGACTAGAAGCTACACAAAGTATGTTTCTGGAGAATAAGAGAATTAAAACTAGAAATCAAGAACTAGAAGATAGCTGAAAAAAATTCCCCAAATATTTCACAATTAAATATATTTCTAAAAAAAAAACAACCCCCACAGGTCAGAGAGAAAGTACACATGAAAAGTAGAAATTCTTTTGAACTGAATGAAAATTGAAATATAACATTCAACATATGTAAGATGCTGCTAAATCTGTGGGTAAAGGGAAATATATGCCATTAAATACTTTATCAGAAAGATGAAAGTCTTAAGTCAGTAAGCGAAGGTCTGCTTTTAGCAACTAGGAAAAGAAGATCAAATTAAACCCAAGAAAGGAGGAGGAAGGAAACAACAAAGATGAAGCACAATCACTGAACTTAGGAGAGAAAACTGGGAAACAGACGCGGGCCTTTGACAACTACCCAGTATCCGCAGACACGGAATGGCCAGCAGGAGAATCTACAGAATACTCTACCTGTGTATCTGACAACGTAGAGCATATGAACCAGTTCCCTGAAAGATACAAAGGCCACACAGAAATAGACATACTTAAATTATACTCAGTGTTAAAAGCCCTTCCCAAACCCCCCAAGCCCACAAACTTCCAGGCCCAGATGATCTCACTGTTGAATTCTATGAAATATTAAAAATCAAAACCAGAAAACGACTACTAATCTGGCACAATTTCTTCAAGACAGTAGAAGAGAGGGATGCCATTCCCAACTCATGTATGAGACGTGCCTTACCTAGACAGAGAACGGATGAGAAAAGTACAGACTGACAGATCTCCTTCATGAACAAAAGACCCAAACGTCCATAAGATACGAGCAAACGGAATATATAAAAAATAACAATACCTCACAACCAAGTGGAATCCTCTAAGGAAGGCAAGGTTGCTTCAAAACCTTGAAACTTTGTCAATGTAATTCATTATATTAACAGACTGAGGGAAAAAGGCATCTGATCATGTCAAAAGATGGAAACTACACTTGAAATCTTCATCCTTCCTTCACTCATTCCGTTTTTACTCATAATCAAGGGCTTTTATTAGGGACGTACTAGGTGAGGACCAACTTGGAAATAACAGGGACAATTCTTCCATCAACACAGATTCATATAGGGTTAGTCCTTTGTGATGGATCATTTGCATAATATCCTCCAGGTTCATCTATTTTGTGGGATATTTTGCTGATTCATTGATATTCTTTACCACTGCATAGTAGTTAACTGTATGTATGTATGTACCACATTTTGTTTTATCCATTCATCTGCTGATGAACATTTAAGTTTTTGCATCTTTTTGCTATTGTTAATAATACTAAACATGGATATACAATGTCTATTTGTGCCATGGCTGGATAAACAATCATTCGTGATAAAACAATTTAACTCGGATCCAAAGAATGCTTCTTCACAGGAAAAAGAACATCTATGAAGAACTAGCGCTTACACCATGCTGACCTATGAAAGACGAAGTGATGGCTCCTCAGAGGTGCACCTAGGCAGGCAGCATGCCTTTTACCTCCTGTGCAACATTATATTCCAACTTCTAGTCAGTGCAACGACTAATCCTACGTAATCTCTGGTGTAAGGCAAAAGAAAAAACAAAAAGTATTCAGATGAGAAATAAAATAATAAAAGCACCTTTTATCGCAGATTATATGATTGTCTATGTAGAGTACTAAAAGAATCTACACAAATAAGCTGTTAAGACCAATAAAAGAAGTTGGCAAGTTCACTGGGTAGTCCCCATAAAAATTAATGTATAAAAGTCCATTGTATTTCTAAAACTAGCAATAAAGAATTGGAATTTAAAAACACCCAAAGAATGAGTTGTACTGTTATGTGCCCTTGCATTGATTCTGATAGGAACCCTGCAGGGCAGAATCGGACCATTCCCCTGGGCTTTCCAGGGACAAATCTCTCTGGGAGCAGATCACCAGGTCTTTTCTCCACTGAGTGGCCAGTGGGTTTGAACCACCAACCTTGTTTTTGGCAGCAGTCTGTAATCACACCACCAGTTCCTTCAAAAGTAGGATACAGGTATAAATCTAGGGAGCAAAGAGTGCAGGACTTGCATGCTCAAAAACCATAAAACACCGATGAAAGACACCAGAGATGAGAAGTAAAGCACAAGACAGAGTCAATTCAAAGTTCAATGCTGTTAAAACATAATTTTCCCTTATCTGGATCTATAAAATGAAAGGCCATTCCTGTTTCTTTTCAGGACAATGACAAGCTGATTCTAAAATTTCTATGGAAAAGGAAAAGAATTAGAATAGCAACACAATGGTGAAAAAAGTAGTTAGTTGAAGGGCTCACACTATCTAACTTCAAGTTTTTAAGATTTTCAGTCAAGACACAGTAATCAAGACAGCGTGCTGCAGGCCTAAGTACAGGTATATTAAATCAGAAAAGTGATTTGGGATAAAGTCACAAGATAGCTGAATTTTGAAAAATGCAATTCCAGGGAGAAATGATAGTCTTTTCAACAATCGGTGTTAGAGCAAATAGCTGCCCACAAACAAAAACGAAGAGCCTTGACACACAGACACATCTCATACAAAAGGACTCCTGAACACACCGACAGGTACTCGGTGAAGCCACAAAGAACGAAGACACTGAGATAAT